CTTCAGTCTTCTATCTGACCCCTGCCCCTCTCTCCAGTCTTCTATCTGACCTCCGTCCTTCCCTTCAGTCTTCTATCTGACCTCCGTCCTTCCCTTCTGTCTTCTATCTGACCTCTGTCCTTCCCTTCAGTCTTCTATCTGACCTCCGTCCTTCCCGTCAGTCTATATATCTGACCTCTGTCCTTCCCTTCAGTCTTCTATCTAACCTCCGTCCTTCCCTTCAGTCTTCTATCTAACCTCTGTCCTTCCCATCAGTCTTCTATCTGACCTCCGGCCTTCCCTTCAGTCTTCTATCTGACCTCCGGCCTTCCCTTGTCTTCCATCTGACCTCCGTCCTTCCCTTCAGTCTTCTATCTGACCTCCAGCCTTCCCTTCAGTCTTCTATCTGACCTCCGGCCTTCCCTTCAGTCTTCTATGTGACCTCCGTCCTTCCCTTCAGTCTTCTATCTGACCTCCGGCCTTCCCTTCAGTCTTCTATGTGACCTCGGTCCTTCCCTTCAGTCTTCTATCTGACCTCCGTCCTTCCCTTCAGTCTTGCACAGGTGTGCCGCCTCCTCTCCTCTTCCTCTGATGTGACTGCACACTGGGAGCTCCTCACAATGTACATTAGAAGCTGCAGCAAGTCAGATAGACCCCACCTCATCTCCTGGCTGGAGGACGTCCAGCATCATCTAGGTCTTTCCTCTCAGGCCCGACTGTCTCTGACTCACCACTTTTCATTCATTGGATTTCAATTCTATCAATCATGGAGGCTCAACATCCCATGTGGGTATTACATAGGGGAGTCTGCCTGCAAATGTAGCCTGCCTCACAACGTCCACTCCTCCAGACTGACATCTGCCCATCAAAGCATGTAGTAAGAACTCTCGGCATGTTCTATGGTTCTGTGTTTTGTCCCTGCAACTGCCACTTTTGCTGCACAGCTTGGCATACTAGCAAATGTAGAGGGAAAATATGACTAAACACACAAAAAGGCAATCCATATACTGAATACTGTCACCCCTTGTATACATTTCTCTATGATCAATTATCATTTCTCTAACATGATGTTTATAATCAAGCAGAAATTAGTCAATCTCACCTCGTGCCGGAGAATGAAAACCCTGCCGATGATTTGGATGCAGTTTCATCCGCCTTTCCGTTTTGCTACGCCTGTCCTTTTCAGCAGTTACCCATTTTACTTTCGATTCTACCCTCATCCCCTTCAGTAACTTCTATGTCAGGAAATTATGCCACATCAAAGATTAGTGGAAAAATGGTGTTTACCTATAAGTCCCATTATACTAATGTATCCCTCTTGGCTTTGTTAAAGCCTACCCAAGTCAAGAGCACATGCGGTGTGTTATACGGCCATTGTTATTTCTCATTGTAGGTCTTTGCTGACCATTTTGGGTCCTAGTACGGTAGCAGACCTTTTTTTTTTCTTTAAGTCCTCAGATTTAAAAGTTCTAGAACCCTTTATCTCGGGCACAGCTGCCTTCAGCGTTTATCTTTTGTCTTACATTCTTCCTGAAATACAGCAGTACGTTTCCTGAGCCTCACAGCTGTACATCTGCAGCGTGTGGTCTAAGGCAGCGTTTTTTCAACTATTTTTCAGTCATGGCACCCTTTAAAAGAATGCAAAATCTCGAGGCACCCCAGTCTAAAATATAATGGATTTTAAAGGGAAGCTCCATGCAAAAAAACCCTCAAAAAATGAGGTCCCTCCCCCCTTAAAGTTAATGCCCCCCGTTCAAATCAGGATTCCCGCTTCACATCAGAGCCCCCCACCTTCACATCCGATTGCCTCTTCACACCAGGAGCCCCCTCCTTTTACATTTTAACCCTCTTCACATCAGGAGCCCCTCTTCACATCAGGAGCCCCTCTTCACATCAGGAGCCCCAAGTCTATGGAGCTGTCAAAACAAATAGCATAATGCTACTGACATATGTGATTGAACCCAGATTTAGAGCTGTGTTTCTCAACCTTCTTTCAGTCTCTGCACCTTTTAAAAGTATAAAAAATCTTGATGCACCCCAGTCTAAAATGTAAAAGACTTTAATGTTAAAATCGATGTCCTTCCCCAAAATCAATACCAGACCCTTATCCTAGGCAGGAATCTGGTATGGATTTTAAGGGGGACCCCATGCAAAAGAAGAAAAAAAATAACAATGTGGAGTTTCCCCTTCACATCAGATGCCCCCCCTTCACATCTAAAGCTCCCCCTTCACATCAGGAGGATTTCAAGGCATCCCTGAGAAAGCCAGAAGGTGCCCCAGGGTGCTACGGCACCCTGGTTGAGAAAGGCTGATCTTAGGCACTGCTGCCTCTGACTTCTAGTCGCAGGAGATTTGCCGCGACCTTCAATGTTCTCCTCGCTGGAGAGGAAGCTGTACCTGATGTAACAAGGACACTCGACTGTAGTCCAGGAAATTCAAGTAAAACGCAGTTTATTAAAGGGCAAACACAAAGCCTTCCCCTGTTCACATAAAGGCCAACATTTCATGCACTTTTCATGATAATCGGCCTTCTTTAGCAAATGCAGTCCTTTGTAGCATATACCGTCCTTAGTAGCTTTCCTCAGCTCTATGGCTCTCGGCACACCTCAGTGTGATACTCGCACTGGTCTCCCAGCAGTGGATCACGGTCTCTCTCAGCGGTGTCCGACTGGCCCCTTGGGTCACCGACCTGCCTGACCTCTCCCAGCCTCCCTCGGCTGTTCCTTGTGCGTCCAGCACGCACCCGAGTCTGCGTGTGTCCGTGTGCCTCCTGCACACACACAACTCTCTGAACTCTGGTCCACACTCCTAATAAGGCTGCTCTCAGCCACCTGATCCAGCTATACTGGTCATTGTTAATACCTGGCCCCAGGACTGGGAGATCTCATCCCACCCAGAGCTCCAGATCCCAGCTACATTTAGGAAAACCGGGAAGGACCTGAAAAGCCAGGCTCTTCCTTATAACAATGTTTACATTCTGGTCCCTCTCAGCCCCTTAGGCTGAGAGTCCCGGGTGCCAATGTTGCCATACTACATCGCGGCATTGCCACGCACTGCCACACTGAGGACCTGCAGTGCAAGAGTCTCCCTGCTTCTGCCCCCTTCATTTTATGGATCTGTGCTTCCTCCACCTCTCCTGGCTCTTCATTATTATTACCCTACCAGTTATCAAATCACCAGTCATTAAAGGGGCAGCTCTGACATGAGGGGGCAAAGCCCTAGTTTAGGATTGGAATTGCGCTGAACTCTGATGGCTTGTGCTGATCAAATTTCTTTAAAATCACTATCTGCAGAGAATGTTTTTGCATCAGCCTGGAAAACCCTTTGCACAGCTGACGCCCATTTTATTCTTGTACCTGAAGAAGAATCATTCAGTATGGAATCTTTTCTTTTAGTATGTGTTCGGTCTACAAAACCTGCCAGCCTTAAAGCGTTAAAGCCGAACTTGGCAGTCTCCTGTCATTTCAATCCCGCTGTTCTATTACAGACACTGACCTTGAGATTTTCATTTGACGGATGTCGGTATTGCACCAGCCGGGATGGAATCCTTGCATGTTCCAGGTAGCAGAGTGAACGAACGCTCTCGTTGTGGATGTTACGTCGGATGCTGCCTGGGTAGATTTTGTTTCCAAGCAAGTCTTGCCTTTCCTTTCAGTCGCCTTGCCCCGTGGGACACATGGGCCTCCTTCAGGGTTTCATTAAAGGGAACCAATCTTCGAGATGTATCATGATGTCACAGCAGGTTTCATGCGAATGCTGCAATGCAGGCCCTGACATTTTATTAATACTTTCCTTTAGATTCCATCCTCTTGTATACGGTTCAGCCAATTCAGAAGTGTTGAGGTTGAGCCTTTGCCGGAATCAATACTTATTTATAAACCGCTGCATACATTTATTATTGTTTTATTCACAGGCGTGTCATTCAATAAAGATATAGAAGTAGTAGTCACCCGCACACCGAGGACCATTGCATCAATCCGTCCTTTTATTGACCTCTGATACACATGGCATCACAAGTACAAAGCAACGTTTCGGAACCTAGCGTGGTCCCTTCATCGGGCAAGAAGCACATTAGAGAGAACCTCGCCCAAAGTGGTTACTTCAGTTTTGCTTGCCCACTGAGATGGATTTGTACCCTGTGCCACTTCCTTGAGTGCTGGCGGTATTAACAAAGCTACATACGTGGGCAGTTCTCCAGGGGAGCCAGCACACTTCTCACCAGTGTAAACAACGGATGCTTCATTGTTGAACTTCTCAACTAGAGGCTCAAGACCAGTCCTCCCCTTCTGCTACCTTAGAATTGGGCTCCGGGAGCTTCGGTATGCAGTGCCGGTCTATGTAACATTTGGCACAAAGCTTTAATATATAGAAAGCAAGCAGGTGACATCCTCAAGCAACTCAAACTGAGCCTATCATGCAGGATGACCCGGCGGAGGGAGACAAGCCCCATAAAGTCAATTGGGCTCTACTGTGCAAGCCGTGGGATGTAAACAATCCTCGGAGGCCACAGACACTCGATAAGTATAAATCTGTGGAGGGTGAAGGGTGGGCTCTGAGATGTTAATGGTGGTGGGGGCAGAAAGTATAAGTGCACTTTCTATGAAACCAAACCTAGAATTGTATACACTGAGTGGCCAGATTATTATGACCACCTGACGTTTGTAGGCAAATTAGCTATAATTTGGCGCTGAAGTTGCTAGAGGGCCGGACCATTATAAATAGGGAAGCAGGTTGGTTACCACGACAGTAGAAGTGATTTGTTTCTGAAGATACGGGGAAACAACGCGATGTAACAGCCTTTGAATGTGGGATGATTGTTGGCGCTCGGAGCCATGGAGCGAGTATCAGCAAAACAGCAGCGTTTGTTAAATGTTCAAGAGCAGCTGTTGTTAATGTGTTTAAAGACCTGACTGTCAGCCGAAAATCTGGGTCTGAACGTGCAAATTGTGGCCGTCAGCGACTAGTCAATGTTAGGGCAGAACGGAGAGTGGCAAGACTGGTACAAGACAAGGGCAGCAGTGCCGTGTCAGATTCCTCGCATCACCTTTCATCATCTCGTGGAGTCACGAGGCGGCCCAACGAAGTACTGATGGGGGGGGTCATAATAATCTGGCCACTCTGTGTATATGTTTGCATGCTAAGTGATGTATAATGTGCCAGTGTAAAATTTCTAAGTATTCATGACCTCTCCTTGGAGATCACAGGACTCCTCCTGGCAATGCCTGCATCTGCTTTTCTGTCTAGAAGGATGTAGCCATCTTTGTTCAGGCATCATCCAGGGTCACCATCTACTTACTGGACTGCCTGTAAATCTTGGTGCTTGTGCAGTTCCCAAGAACAGTTCCACAACACAGCCATCTGTCTTGTGCTCACCCAAAAGTTATGGTTCCTTCAGCCGGCTACTAGTTCACTGCTGTGGGCTAGAAGAAGTGCCCAGTGGGGGACAACAGCACTCATTGGGGGGAGCAGACATCCAACATGCCCAGAAGTGTTGGATACCAGCAGAACCCATACCTCATCATAGGGACACAGTCACGTTTCTGAATTTTTGCAGTAGGTCCCTCTTTAAGCATGAGGCTGTAAGAGAATGGTGAAAGGTGATTTGAATTCTATTTGTCTTACCTTATTGGATTATTTGCCGCTCTTGTTGGAGATATGGAATCCTTTCTGTCATTCTACATTTACTTCATGTGCATTCTGCAGCTCTAACTTGTCCGTTTCAGGTGCTCGGGATGTAGATCCAGCTTAAAATCACAGTCCTTGTTTCCATGGTCTACGCTTTACCTATGCAAAACTTTCTCCGATCCCTTATTGGTAGCAACTCTGAAAGGAAAGCTGTCTGGAAAATTCCGTGAAAATCACTGTCATAAGAGATGAATACAGGAAACAGAGAGAAAGGATCAGAGAGATATACAATTGTATCTACTACTTGGCAATTGGCCCAGTTCATAGCTCTTTCTCTCTTGTTGGCCATATATTCCCAATAGCGTGCCTTGTGTATCTTCTTCCCACTCTCACTCCATGCACACCGCTCCCCCCCCACTGTCACCCTATGCCTGCTGGAAGATTACACCCACTTTACACCCAATACCCCTGTGCCTAATTCTCCCCCCTCTGCTCTTACTACCGCCCCTGCAACCCTCTGCTTCTGATCAAACCACCCCACACAGGCATACTTTCTCTAGTCTATCTGAAGGCTCATCTCACAAAGGCCCGCTAGCCTGTTTAGCCTGCTATATACATTTTGCCATTAACAGTGTTATTATAAGACACTCACATTTATTTTAACAGCCAGTTATGACAAAATAGGTTTTTAAGCTTAAGTCATGTAACAAAGATTGCCACACGTGTTTTCCGCCCTTAAAGTGAACCAATGTCTTGCCTGTACTTCCCCCTGTCCCCAGATGAACATGCTCATCATATCTCCTTCACTTCCCAAATGCATATACTCGTATTATTTCACTCCCATACCACTCCATTCAGACAGCTGGGATAGACGTGTAATGAGCATGGGACAGTGCTGGTGGTTGGTGACTGGTCCTAAGATGAAACATGCAGCAGAACAATATTCTGTAGCCTGGTCCTTTCACAGTGCTTCCTCTCTTTGCTCCCGGTGACCAAATGGGGTGACGGGAGCAATGGAAAGGTGACTATATGCAGCTGAAGAAGGGTGAGTTGAGTGAACCTGTGGCTTTGCCCTGCACATGGGTAACAGTTTGTGCACCTTCACACCTACTCTGTGGCCGAAAGTTTGAGCTTGGTTAGTTCCATTGAAGGTTGCTGTGAATGCAAACGTTTTATAGACAATTGTGCTGTTCCAGCTTTGGCCCAACAGTTTGGGTTCCAGAATGACTATCCCCTGTGTACAAAGCCAGCTCCATGAAGACATGGTTTGAGTAGTTTGGTGTGGAGGAACCCAAGTGCCCTGCACAGAGCTCTGAGCTCAACCCTACTGTACACCTTTTGGATGAATTGGAACAAAGATTGCAAGCCAAGTCTTATCATCCAACATCAGTACCTGACTCAGAAATGCTTTGCTGGTTGAATGGCCACAAATGCCCCCAGATACCCTCCAGAATGTTGTGGAAAGCCTTCCCAGATGGGTGGAGGCTATTATAGCTGCAAAAAGGGGACCATTGTCATATTAATGCCAATAATCAAGGAACTGAGGGTCCAGCAAGCTCATGTAAGGTGTGATGGTCAGGTGTCCTCAAACCTATGGCCATATATCAGTTTTTCTATAGGCTGGAGATTGGGGCATTATGGGAATAATTTGGGGGAGACAGACTTGTGTCAGAGCCTGCCAAACGCTGTTGAATTGGTACATTGTTCCATGGTGTGATCTAGAGTCTGCAACATTACACTAACCCCTTTTGTATCTGTCTTTTTATGTATGGTGATAGTGCGGTGCTGGATTCCAAGCAGAAGATCTCATCCCGCTGAACAGTGATAAGGATGAAGTAGAGGAACTCCGGAAGAAGATGGAAGACAGGAGGTTGAAGGCCAAGATGGAGAAGGTAGTCTACACAGAGTTTTGGGAGGTGCATTAACAGTAATCTTTATCTCTGAATAACTCTGGAATCTTCTTTATTCCTAGAAATCCAAGAAGTCCAAGGCGGCAGTGAGTGCGGTTTCCATCGGAGAGACAACGGAAGGTAATTCAAATATTTGGGGATCACTTATAAGGAGAGCAATGGCTTTGTGCGCTTGAAAGGGGGAATAGCAGCCATCTCATTGACAACCTTAGTTGGTGTTTAAAAACCCGAATACATTTGTTCTTTAAAAGAAGATGTTTCACAAAACGGAAATTCCGGAAATCGATTTGCAAGTTTGGGTTGGTCTTGGAGAAGAAAGGATTCCTAATTCACCAAGGTTTGGATCCTCAGCGAGAAAGTTAAATGCACTTACTTGCTGCGAGCGTTCTGAAAACAAGTTTGCCACAGCACACAATGGGGGGAATTTATCAAAACTGGAGCAGACAAAATCTGAAGCCGTTGCCCACGGCAACCAATCGGCTTCTCTTTTTCATTTTCAAATCTCAACTGAACAAACTGAAGAGAGACGCTGATTGGTTGCCGTCGGCTCCAGCCCCATCATAGTGTCCATTTATATAAACCTTTTACTGCTGCCTTTTCCTCAATTCCCTCTGCGTCCCGATCTGCCAGCAGACCAACCGAGTTTTCTGTGTAGGTCGAGCTGTGCATACTACCCTAGGTCACGCATGACACCACACGGTGGGGGGGGGGGGTGCTATGTTTCCCCCACACCAGTACAAGTATAAACCCCCTTTCCGGACTCCACTGGCGGTTCGGTGCAGCAGGTGAGATACATGTCATGTTCAGGTCTGCTCTTAAAGCAAACCTGTTTTTTAAGGCTGACAGTGGCAGATTCACTGTAATGACAACCTCATACCTTTCCTTTTGTACTTTGGTACTTCCCAGTATGTAGGAGAACGTGACTCTTGTGCTTGGTGATTGAGTACTCGGGGCCCCCCAGCGCTTCCATGGGGTGGGGGGAAGAGTTCACATCTTTGTGTAAGCGTCAAGTTGCTTAAACTCTTTCTTGATTCTGGCAGACGAAGTATGTGCATTAGGCAGGTCCACTATTACAGTGAACCTGTTGCTTTTCCCTGCGTAGAGAGCACATAGGTTCAGTTTAAAGAGAAACTGTTATCTGTCCATTCAGGGCAAAGTGACAGTGCCTCCTGGTAGCCCATCACCCCAGCAAGGTATACTGACCCATCTGCGCACAATTGACATCTTTCTGCTGCAGGAGACCTGTGCTGTCAGATGGTGTCAGAACACCCTCAACCCCCCCTCACCATGTACATTGTTCAAAATTGGCTTGGGCGGGGTGGAGCTTTCAGGACACACCATCACTTTCCCCTTTATGGGTCATTTTTCCCAGTATGGGCTCAGTGCAGGTTCACTTTAAGTGTTAAGAGGTAAGCATATGTATTAGGTAAATATTAATGCATTGTACTATCTGCTTGATAGCACAAGGAATTTCACTGTGCTTATGTTAATATTTGTGTAGTGTCTCTTAAAGGAGAACTATGAGGGGGGGGGGGGGGGGGGTTTTTTAGCGGCTACAGCTGGCTCTGTCTCTAGATAGGCAGAGCCAGCTGTCACTCACGCAGCTGGGCAGATCCAGACATCGATGTCGGGATCCGCTGCGGCGTCTCAGTATAGCGCGAGCTGTAGCCCGCGGTATACTGAGCCTAGGGTGACGGGAGGACGCTAGTTTGTGTCCTCCCGTTACCCTAAGGAGAACTATGGGGAAAAGCCCTGACCCCATAGTTCTCCTTTAAGATCCATCATATATACTCGGTTCCAACTAACTCTAACCACCAATCTTTATCTTCTTTCCCAGGAGCTCCGGGACCCTCAAATGCCACGAATGGAAACAAAAACGACTCCAAAGATAAAGCCAGTTCTGTTCCCAACGATAAATCAACCAGTGAGCAGCCATTGTTATTTCTGATATCCAATATATTATGGAGAAAGGAATCCTCTTGTCTATCTTTCTATTGACTCTCACCTAATGCTACATAATGCCTTGTGTGACAGCAGAGGGAGCCACAGTTGCTCCTGAACCCATCAGGTGTGATGATTGCTGATTCCTCACGTCACTGATTATGGCGGCTGTGCTGACAGCTGGGTGTCTGGGGAAGTTTGCTGTGCAGTGGATGTCAGGGTTGCATTTGGGAAGCCAAATCTTCCTTGTCCTCCCTTCACCCAAAAAACGGATCCAAAGATGTAAACAGGAGGTTGTACACGCAGACTGTAATGTGTGGGGTGAGCCCAATCAAGTTAATGACAGGGTGACCTTGGGCAGAAATTTGATTGACCCTTGCAGCGGGGCTACCCCAGCACTGCAAGAGTTAGCTGCTTGTTTTTTGCCAAGGGTAAGAAAAAAATGTGTCATACTTGATCCTCAGAGCCGGCCAGATCTTAGCCAGGTCCCTGGAGCCTCCCTCTCCCCCTCTGCTGCAGCGGTCTAGGAATCCTCGAGTCATCACGGCGTCCTATACAGTGTATAGAACGTGAGGATGTCGAGGTCCATACCATCACTGCAGCTGAGGAGGAGAGAGGGCCCAGTCACACCACATCCATATCATCTCCATACTAGACCAGATTGTTTCCAGACCCAAAATGTATCCTAATGTATCCCTCTGCTACTTCTGGCCTCTGTTCACACCAGCGCAGTCCGTTCCAGACCAGAAAAATACTGCACGTCTCATTTTGTCTGGTCTGGAATGCACTGGTACTGCGGGCAGGTTCACACCATTTGGGGGTGAACCTGCCCAGAGGCTGGAGGGAGCGCTGTCAGCTCTGAGAATTGGGTGAGTATAACTTTTTTTTTTTTTTTTTTTACTCGGCAACAAACAAGCAGTTAACCCTTGCAGTGCAGGGCTAGCAATGATGAGTTCTTCTTTAAAGTGACATTAAAGTCAAAAATCTTTTTCCCTCCCCCCAGTGTTAGTGTCAGCACTTACCTTAAATTATGTTTCTTAATCCGATCTTCTTTCCTGTCCCTCTCATCTGTCCCTCCAGCGGGTCTCCGATCCAGCGCTGACTCCTCTGTCCCTGCTGGCACTTCCTGTCCCACGGTGTCTGCATGCGGGTGCACGCTGTCCATAGACTTACCTTGCGTCTCTCCTCGCGTCCCGGCCGAAAATGTGAACTGCGCATGCGCCCGCCCCAAGATGCTTTGCGGCCGCCCGAGAATTTTCACATTTCGAACGGGAGCGCGCGGGGAAGACGCGGGTAAGTATTAACCCTTTTCAAAGCGGTTTGTTTGGGTTTTTTTTGCATAGATCTACTGCTTGCTTGCTTTATATATATGCAAAAACACCGGAGGGTTTAATAACCCCTTAAGACTGTCCACATGTAATTGTACATGGTATGATTACCTGCAGAACAGGAGAGATGTATGTCCTGGGACGCATGCTCTCTGTTTGGGTCTAGATACACTTTACAATGTGCAGTTTTGGTCTCTTTGGCCAGACCTGTGTGTACATTGAGCTCTAATTGTACCTTGTTTCCATACAGCGGAGTCCAGGGCTTCTGAAAAGAGCTCCGCATCGTCCAGCCCTGCCACCAAAAGGCCAAACCCGGACGTCAAGTCAGAAACCTACAAATCCATCTTCACGTCACACAGCTCGGCTAAGCGCACCAAGGACCAGTCCTCGAATTGGGTCACCCACACCGCGTACTACTTCTGAACATAATGTAGTAATACCCCCAATACACAGTATCACACGATCGCGTCTGCGTATACATTTAATCTCTCTTGGACATCAAGTACCAAATCTTCATTTTGCACCTTTTAAACCTGAGGCAGCTGCCTCAGTGATGTCATTAGCCCCATAGCAGGGCAAATAATTTATCTTTGTGAATTGTATCTATTCTCTGTATTTGTTCTGTAATAACTGGACAGGCTCTTTAAGTACCCAGGAATATGGTTTGCAGCTATGGGGTTACTGAACATACACAGAGAGGGGAATTTAACCAAATCTGGAGCAGCTGTGCATGGCAACCAATCAGCTTCTCTCTTTCATTCTCAAAGCTTAAAGGAGAACTATGAGATGAGTGATTTCCACTCACCTCATAGTTTCATTGTCACAGGTCTGCTAGAACTGTCACAGGTCGGCTCAGTAGATCGGGAGGTGAGCGAACACATACCGGGTTCGCTCACCTCTCGATCCTGTCACGGCTCTCTGCCGTGACAGGGGGAGCGGCTGGGTTCCCCCCTCCCCGCTCCGATCCGCCAGCGCTGACTGGCAGAACGGACGGGGGAGGGGGCGGGTACAGCTGGCTCTGCCTCTAGATGTTCAGAGCCAGCTGTCGCTCCGGCTGCGGCGTCTCAGTATACCGCGAGCTGTAGCTCGCGGTATACTGAGCTTAGGGTAACGGGAGGACGCTAGTTTGTGTCCTCCCGTTACCCTAAGGAGAACTATGGGGAAAAACACTGACCCCATAGTTCTCCTTTAAC